CCCCAAAACCCCAAAACCCCAAAACCCCAAAACCCCAAAACCCCAAAATATATTCTTAATATTGATTTGATATATTTATTTAAATTGGTTCAAGGCAAAATTAGGATAATGATCTTCTGATTTTTGATCCTTTAGACGAATTTAATTTTGATCATGAGACTTGGCTTCTCTACAAATTAGGGTGTTCTTACTATTCATCCAGAGATGTTAGATATTTTAGACTCTTCTTTCCGTGCGATGTTAAGGTTGGTCTTGATTACTGTGACTTTTGTGTGAATTCTTTGCTTTTTTTCTTTTCACTTAAGATAAATGATTATGATGAGGTTAGCTAAATTTATTAATGAATTCAGTAAGGAATTTGAAAGAAATGCATATATAAAGATATCTTCTCTTGATTCTGTCCAACTCGACTCTGAACACATTATCAAAAATGGAACTATCACTCATGTAAAGCATATCTGGTTGAGTCATTCAACGATGTTGTTTGCATGATCTTCAAATGGTCTAACTCAAATAATGTACATTCAGAATGCAAACTGAGTCATAAAAAACAGACTCCACTCAACATAATAAGTGTTCAGTGACGAATCACCAAATGATTTATCTCTGGGCTGATCAGGATTCGACAAAAGCACTAGTGCCAGAACATACGACAGCCTTGCTACAAGAAATACTAGCGAGTACATCTTGGCCCATTTAGTGTTCTTGAGGCCTGATCCCAACTCAGTGATTGACCAATGATTGTACAGCTCTGGAGCAGAGGACCTACAAATATAAATGTAATGCTTACCATCCTGACAAATACCATGCTATTGTAAGAATGCTGAATATAATGAGTCCAAATGTGAACATGAATCACATGACCAGAGAAACAATGGTGATGGTCCTGCTTATGTTGAAAGCTTTGAACTCAGACACGATTGAGAGCATCAGAAACAAGAATCCTTGTATGATCAGTCTGATGTAGGCGTTGAAAGTCATGAACACAAAGAACTTCTCAATTATTTTTTTACATTTTCCAGGTTTGTGTTCTCTTATGCATACATAAATGAGAGTTGTAATTAAATGAAGAAAGCCTATCAGAACTATTATCACTACCATTGGAAGATAATTGACAATGGAGCTGCCTGAGCTGATTCCGATTTCATTCAGGTACTCATCAGACTGAGGGTATGACACCAACTTCTTGATTTCCTTGACCAGAGGAATATCATCAGTTGGGATGAAGTCCAATGATACAAAAGCAAAGTCCATACCCAGAATAAAGTCTCCTACTTTGGCTGGGAAATATGGTGGAAGCATTGGCAACAGAATGTATAGCTGTAACTGATTTATCATGCTGAACATTCCAACTGGTGAACTCATTGACACCACAGAAGAAGCAGCTGCCAGAGCCATGGCCACTCCTGCAGCTGCTTGAGCTGCTGTTGATGCTGCTCCTGCATCTGCTTTAACACACTGTCCTTGCTTGAGGTTGTATCCAAACTTGCATTCTTTTCAAGTCTGAGGAGAGTCAGCCTGGCACTCGTTGCAGTTATCTAGACTGCACGACTCCACAGTGATGAACACTCGCTTGGAGTATGTGTCTGAGCCATATTGAGATTGGATTGCAAACTGGAACAGCTGAGTCCCATTCACAACCGGTGTCTTGTTGAGAGTGAGCACTTCAGTGGCAGCATCGAAGGAGACCCAGCCAGGAATTGAGTGACCATTGAGTTCTTGGACAGAGTGGACGAGCGAAACAGGATCAGCAGAGTTGGTTCAGCTCAAAGTCAGAGTCTGAGTGATGGTGACATCTGAAAGATAAGACTTGTTGAAGTCATCATTCATTACGTTGATATAATACTCACCTGTCACCTCTGTGACAATTTCAGTGGCAACAGTAACTCCAGCTGAACTCTGGTCGGTGATGCTTGGAGTTGTAACATTCAAAGTTGGGAGTGGAGCTGCAGGGTCTCTGAGATCAAAAATGGTCGAAATAGGAGTAAAAATGGTAGGTCTTTGTACCAAGGAATCAACCACTCCAAGATCTTGAGGAAGAACTCTGAGGAATGAATAATCTCTTGAGATAGTCCCTGCAAGAATAAGCAGCTCAAACCCATTTAAGGTGATTGCTTTCGATGTGTAAAAGTATTCTCCAGTTTGATAATACTCATCAATTTCATCTAAACATCAGACTTCATCTTTGAAAATATGAATGCTAACTTTCAAATGCCATTTCCATAAATTTTGGAAACTTTGATTGTTGACACCAAAACTTACCAGGGAAGTTATGCTTCTTGGTTAGCATGATAAAAATATGAGACCTACTATAGTCCTTGCCCATCATCACTATTTGGGAATCTAGCTCTTCTAAATTATACACCTCAGCAGGACTGGCAGATGTTTTAAGACCTGAGGACTCTGGTTCTCCAGAAACTGAATTTATTTTATACAGCAGAATCATTTGAGAGAAAATGACTGATGTATAGATAAACTCTCCATCTCTGCTGATCAAGGCTCTGGAAAAATAAAGATATCACGGAGGGAATCATTGGACTTCTTTTGCCCAATTTAGAGATGACGTATCCGAGTAATTAGCTGCCAAGAAATAAAGATTCGTGCCACCAGTCTTCATAGTATTTATAAACACATTTTGAGAGTCTATTGGGGAGAAGTTTACTCTGATGTTGCTTCCATAATCGAAACAAGCCATGCTAGGATCTATTTTGTTCCATTTTCAAATGGCCCAAACATTTCCTGCTGTCAGTTTGACGCTCATAAAAATGCTTGACCCAAGTATTTTAATGATATCGTCATAAGTAGCCTGAACGGATGAAATTTGGAGATATCGACTTATTGTAAAACTTGTAGTTGAGAATTCAACTACATGCGTGGTGTCTTTTAGTAATAAGTACAAGTACTCTCCATCGTCACTGATGGTATGATCAAACCATGAAGGAAGTCCTGAAATCGATATCATCCTTTCAAGAGTCAGATTGTAGTCTGCTTCTACAACTCCTGTATACCCGTTCACAGAAATATTATTCATAAAGTACGAAACAAAGTATAATCTATCTCGCACAGGATTTTTCACAATTGATCTAAAGTCTGTTTTCAGAGACAAAAGAACTATCATATTTCCTAACAAATGGAGTCATAGTAAGTTCTTGAGTGGTCGATCAAATCCTTGCTTGAGACACTGCCAATATGGTTGAGACCAGAGCGAGTCAGAACACAATTCTCATTAATGTAAGTTTTTTATTTATTCAATAGTATCTAGTATCCCAGGGGTTTTGGGGTTTTGGGGTTTTGGGGTTTTGGGG